CAGATTCAGAGAAACCTGGGAAGAATTGCATGAAATGACATAGAATGAAGTGAGCAGAACCAAGAGATCAGTTTAAACAATGACTAAAAATTGTGAAGAAAAACAATTTTATGAGATTTAAGAACTGTGATCAATGTAATAACCAATTATGACTCCAGAACACCAATGATGAAATGTTCTCCACTTTCTAAAAGAGATGTACAGAATGAGAAGCACATTCATGAAAATGGGCAATGTGTGGACTTGTTTTGCTTACCTGTTTATTACAAGGGAGGGTTTATTTTTTGGAGGAGGAAAACTTAAGAGGAGAGAGGGAAGAATGATAATGATACAAAAAGAAAAGAAAGGCATGATAGGAAGATCGATAGGAAAATGTACAGAAGAAAGCAGAGGGAGATTAAGAGAGAAATGCATTCAGGACAACTTTGGAATTAAGGTGATGAATATATTATATACTTTAAAAGAATAAAGCTGCATGTAATAAAGATTCGTGGTTTTATGCACAATTCTCTCTTCCCATTCTTTTTGATATATCAAATTGCTCATATGCATTGGTGTTTGTCAAGTTCAAAACAAAAAAAAATTTGTAATCAAAAAAGACAGGCTTACACATGACATGTTCAGTAAATAAGAATAGGCCAGCAGTCTCTGGGCTAAGGGCAGAGGGAAGCAACCTAACTGGACAGCATATAAGTTGCTTAGGGCTTTGAATGTCAGGCCGAGGAGTTATGATTTTTTGCTGTAGGATAAGTGGGTAAAAGGTGAATAGGTAATTATTAGGGGCCAATGGGTGAGAAGTTAGTGTAGGGCCCCAGAAGATGACTGGGGGAAAAGACAGTGAGGGAAAGGGAGGGTCTGTGGGAAGCAGTGAAAAGAGCCTGGAATTGAGTTAGAAGACCTGAATTTGGGGTCCAGCTTTGCTGTTTATGAACTATACAACTTGAGCCTTCAGTGTAGGTCATTAGATTGTGAGTTCCTTGAGGAAGAGGACTGTCTTTTGCCTCTTTTTGTATCCCCAGTGCTTAGCACAGTGCCTGGCACGTAGTAGTAGTACCATTACAAATGTTTATTGACTGACAGGTGGCAGTTTAGTGTAGCGGGAAGAACAGGCTATATGGATTTGGAAGTCCCAGGCTGAAGTGCTTGCTCTGCTACTCATCAATTGATTAACTTTGGACAAGTCACTACGGTTCTCTGAACCTCAGTATTCTCACCTATAAAATGAGATAATCCTGAAGATCTCTTCCAGATTTCTATACTAATGATTCTCCCAGTGCTAGGTATATACTCCTAATGAGATCACAGATAGAAAAGTGCATAGATGCTAAAATGTTCATTATGGTGCAAATTGTAACAGAAAAGAATGGGAAACAAAATAGATGCCTATCAGTTGTGTAATTGGTAAACAAACTGTGGTGTATGAATGTAATGGAATATTTTCCTTGGGTCTACACTAGCTTTCCCAGGGTCTCTGCCTCCGTTGCTAGAGGCTATGTCCCATTCTGGGCTCTAGGACCAGAGCTCTCCCAGACATATTGGCTTTCAGCCCCGTGCCCTCATAATACTCTAGCTTCTAGCCAGCATGGGTCAAATGGTCCTTGCTGCTCCTTGTCTACTCCATGCATCTCTAGCAGCAGCAGCAGCAGAGATCTTAGCAACAGACATCCTAGTACCATCCTGGACCACTCCATCATTCCTTCTCCCTGGAGTTGTAAATACAAGGAAGCAAAAGAAAAGCAAAAAATTAAGAGGACATCACAGCATCAATAGCATCCTTTTATCCTGTTTTGTGACTTTTGCCCTGCTACAAACAGCTCACCAGAACCTAAATAAAGTGAGAGGATGAAGATGAGGGAACCAAACCATAGAATTATCAGAGACTCTTTCTCAGGGGATCATCTTCCTAGGGAAAGTCATGACACTGTCTATAGGTGAGACAGCATCTAAATAACTAGGTATTTAAAAGCTATGTACAGTGGAAATGAGAGGAAAGGCATTAGGGGAAAGGGAAGACCAAGAAAGGTTTCTTGTTGAAGGTGGGATTTCAACTGAATCTTAAAGGAAGCCAAGAGGAGGAAGAGGGGAAGGAACATTTCAGATATGGTGGAAAGCTAGTGAAAAGGAACAGAGTTGGAAGATAGAGTATCCTGTTCAAGAAAAAGCAAGATCTGGGAGGGAAATGGGAGGACAGCAAGAAATGGGGTTGGACAGGAATATCTCCAAATAGGCGTGTTTCTACTAGTTTCCTTTTTCAAGTGCAATATTAAATACTAAATCCATAGAAATCTCATCTTGGCAGTTCACTTTGTCCCTGAATTTCTCATGCTGGAAGTACATTTCCTCTCTTCCTCTGATTGGCTGGTTCCCTCAAACCTCCATTTTAAGGAAAAATGTCCAAGCCAATCAGTCATTCTTCTCTTGGATTCACTCTTGACTCTCCAGATGTTACCAACATTCAACCATGTAGCTCTCTCCCCCACCTCTGTTTTTCAGCTCCTTTTTATGAGCCTTGAGGCAGCTAGGTAGCATAATAGGTAGAACCTTGGGTCTGGAGTCAGGAAGACCTAAAGTCAAATCCAGCCTCAAACACTTACTAGCTGTGCAACTGGGAAAGTCACTTAACCTTTGTTTGCCTCAATTTCCTCAGATGTAAAATGCGGATAATAAATAGCACCTACCTCCCAGGGATTATTGTAAGGATCAAATAAGAGAATATTTGTAAAGTGCTTAGCACAGTGTCTGGCACATAGCAGGTGGAAAGAGACCCAGGCATTGCTATCTCTTGCTCTTTAAGTGAGTTATTCAGATGATGAAGTTCTAACAGAAATGGTATTATTTGTTTAGCAGTCTTCAAATAAGTTCATCTTCTGAGTAGAGTCTAAATTTCAAAGGGTTTTTGCAAATCTGGTGGGGCATGAGATTATATAGGACCTGGTAGGAAACTGTGACTCACCAGAATGTCAACTATAACTTCTGTGCCTTCTCCATTTATGGGCTTTTTAGAAATCTTGTTGCCTTGAGTGCCTATACAGGCAATGAGGATTCTGTTGAAGTCTCCTAGTATATGGCCTAACTAAGGGAGGCAGGGAAATACATTATGTCAGATACTATACATCTTGGGAAAGAGAACTTTCACTTAAGGAAGGCGCTCAGGCCAGCCATTTCTTCATTTCCCAGTTGACCGCACTCTTCCAGACTTCTCTATTATGCCCACAAGCTGGGTACCTTCCCTTTTCCCTTCCCCCTTTCAATTTACTTTTGTGTGCTGTCTCACCTCCATTGGATTGTAAGTTCCTCGAGGGCAGGGACTTTCTTTTTCATATTTGTATCCCTAGCTCTTTGCACAGTACCTGGCATGTAGTAGGCATGTAGTAGTACGTTTATTGACTGACAAAAGGGAGAATGACCTGGAGGCTGATAGACATCAATTACTATGACCATCAGAATAATGAGACTGGGTGATTCAAGAGTATCTTGATCCACAACTCAGGACTGAAAGTGGTCACACTACCTGGACCACTGTAGAGTCTAGGCTTTCACAGAAACAGGCAGGATCTTCTTTCTCCAATGTAGGTGTTTTTCCAGGACTTCAATGAGGATTGGGGGAATATGACAGGCTAGATAGAATGTGTATTTCTCTATACACCAATTCTACTCCCAGAGGAGAGCAAGAAGGCCACATAGCTTAGACCTTGGGTGCCCAAAATGCCACAAGAACAGGCTGGCCAGGGAGAGGGGAAATGCTTCCTGAAGATGTAAACTCCTCATTGGCCCTCTGGGTTCATATCCCCATTCCTATTTCCCTCTTCTTCCAAAGAAAAAGAAGCTCCCTTAGGCTAGGAGGGGCTTCCTCAAAGAGAACTCAAGCATAGTGTCAGCAGCAGTCAGCATAGGAGCATCCTTCAGCCAGTAAGGGCTGAGAAACATCTATGCTAGCAGCTGGTAGTGGTTTTGGGACTTGAGTGATCAAGTATATATCTCTCTCAGATCTATAATCCTGCTCCCAACATCCCATCCCCCAAACCACTTCTCCCCAAACTCATTGGATATTTTGGAAATAAAGGAACATAGCTACCTACTGATGGGAAACCAGGGTAGATCTAGACATATTGCCTCCTGCCCTGCTGCTGCCCCTTTCTCTTTATTTGAGACAACCACCATCCAGACCTGGCACCTGCCTGGCCTTCGGAAACCATGTTTAACCTTCCACACATCCTCACTCCCTCTAATAAGGGAAAATAGAAATCTAGTGGCCAAATTTCAACAAAAAACTTTTTGCATAATTGGCGAATGGGATTGCAAAATATTGAGTAAGCATGGCCAATGATGACGTTCCTCCATTTGGATCTCTGTATCTTTGTGAGGTACCACCTACAGCTATGACAGCTATGAAAACTAAGTAGTTAACAACTATACTGAAAATTAGACCTTTGAAATCTGTTACGAGGAATTAAGCTGAGATTTTCAAAAATAGTGAAGGATAGTCAACCACATTGCTCTCAACAAAAATACCATAATTTTGGAGGGCCTTTGTATGGTTAATATGTACAATATTATTTCATCTTTATCTCAATCCTTTTAATTTCTATTTTTGTATAAGTTGTATAACATAAATAATATGTTATCATAGTATTACATGTATATGATTCAGAGATAAATCAGCATACGCATATTGCAGGTATATGATCAAAAATGTTATATCAATGGAATGTATGATTAAAAAACTTTGGGGACAGGACGGGCCTCAACAATCAGTTCAAGGACATTAGCTTAGGGAAAAGGCTGCTTAAGGAAAAGATCATTAACCCTATGCAGAGATTCCATCTTTCCCTCTCTTCCCTCAAGCCCAATATGAGTGGGGATAAGCAGATATGGAGAAATAGAAGGAAGGGGTACCGGGCCAGCTCTGGTTTTGCCCTATGGTGCTGAACACTGAATCAGAATCTGGGAGATTTCTCATATTGACTCGATCTTCAAGCAGTCTGAAGACCAGCCATGCAGAATTCATCCTTGGTTTGGACTGTCTGAGGCCCCTGTGTTGAACCAGGCTATGTTGCTGGAACTGATCGATGATGCCTTTTGGTTGGCGACAGCCCTCCTGACACCCCAGGGTGGGGAAAAGTTGCAAGTGTCTGTGATCTCTCTGGACTCTTGCTCTTTTGTCCTGTCTCTGACTGCTCATCACTGGTGCACTGTTCTTCTATATCACTTCTCACGTCTTCTGGAGTCTGAGAACCAGACAACAACAAAGTTGAGGCAGACACACAGAGAGAAAGGAGGATACATAGAGATAGGGAAGGGCAATCAGAGACATAGAGAGTAAAATATAGGAACCAGAAAATATAGGAGGATAGAAAAGATGGGGAGTAAGAGAGAGAAAGATGAATGGGGAAGGAATAGATATTGATTGAGTGCCTGCCATGTGCCAGGAACTATGCTAAGCACTTTACAATTATCTCATAAAGAAATGTACAAAGAGAGACAGGGAGAGGAAGAAACAAAAAAGAAACAGGAAGGCTGGAGAAATGAGACAAGGAGGGATCAGGAAGACAAGGAGAAAGAAGAAGCAGAGACAGGTAGAAAAGAGAAGGCAAGGAGAGGAAAGAGATTGGATGAGAGAGTTAGGAGAGGTAGAGGAAGGGAAAAGTGGGAAGTGAGAGGGAAAGAGGAAAGGTCCTTGGGTGAGACCTTCCTCCCTTCCCCCCTCCCCATCCCCCAGCCAATCCTGGACTACTTAGTGCCTACTGACATTAGAATGCCAGGCCTGCGTCCTCATTCCCCATTCTCCAACCCTACCTATAGCCTCTTATAGCTGCATAGACCCTTCCTCCAGGATTCCTATTCACTTCCCCTTCAGCTGCTGAAATGGCCTGTGAGACAAGCCAGCAGGTTCACCAGGTTATAGAAGAATCAGGGGCCAAAGCCAGGGACAGCCTTGTACTCACCTTGCCCATAATAACAAATCTGTAGCACACGTGAAGGATGAGAAATGACCAGAAGACATTGAGAGCCTGAAGAATCATCAAGAGGGCATTGCTAAAGTAGTATCCAAAGAAAGGTTTATGGTTTTCCATGGAACTATAGTAGGTAGTGTAGAGGATTCTGTTGAAAAGACAGAGGGACTCAGAAACATTGTTGGGTCCGTGCTTCTAAACACCTTGTGTCCCAGGTGAGACCTCCTCTTCCAGGAAGAGGGGAGGGCTTAGTAAGAAGCTCTAAGTATGGCGGAATAGTATCCTGAAAAGATCCACAGGCCTTCTAGCCTGACCAGAAACCCATTTTCATTCCTCTTTTTAGGGGCAGCTTTTGTTCCAGAAAATCCCAAAACACAAAGACTTGGAGTGCCAAGGCCACCTACAACTCACAGTCACTGCCCACAACCTTTCCTATCTTCTAGAATCAGGCTTACTTGTATGGGAAGAGAATTAGCCGGCTAATGAGAAATATCACGGTAAAGATGACAAAGATGATTGTGCTTGAATTCTTCCACTGTGCATAATTGGCCATTTTGCCTGCCTTGGAGGGGAGGAGAGAAGAAATCTTACAATGACATAAGCTTAGATGAGAGGAACCCCTGAGGGCATCTTGTCCATCCCATACATGACTTCTCAACCATTGGCTGGTCATAAAGCCTCTGCATGATGACATCCAGCAAAGGAAATCTCATTCCTTCCCAGAGGTAGCCTATTACACATTCAGAGTGTTAGGAAGGTTTTCCTTAGAGTCAGCCCAAATCTGACTCTGCAACTTCACCACTCACCCGCACCCAGTTCCTACTTCTGCCCTTTGGGGCTAGACAGCAAATTTAAAGCAATAGCCCTATAAATACTCGAAGTCACCTCTCCCACCCCTGAGTCTCCTCTGAGTCCAGCACCCCTAATGCCACCAATTGATTCATGCTTGGCATGAGCTTCACACTCCTCTCACTATCTCAGACACCCTCCTCTGGAAGCTCTCCAGCTCATTGGTGCCCAAGATGCCTCTGCGATGCCTCTTCTTTCTACAAGTCTTTCCCAAATGTGTATCCTAGAGCTGCATGGAGCACTCCAGATGTGGCCTGACTGAGACGGAGCCCAGGGGGACTGTTACTTTCCTTATACTGGATGTTGAGCTTCTGAATGCAGCCCAAGATCTTACTAGATTATGTCACCCTGTAGACTCAATAAGCTTGTTATCCTTTGAAAGCTCTGGGGCTTTTTTCATACAAAGTATTGTCTAATCACAACTCTTCATTGTGGGCTTGGAAGTTGATTTTATTTTATTTTGTAAATCTCAAGTATAGACTTTGATGTGGCTCATATCCCTCACTGGTTCAGATCTTTGGGAGTTGTAGTAGACTGACCACTGGACATGGAGTTGGGAAGACAAGTTTGACTCCAGCCCCAGGCACTTGCTAGTTGTATGACCCAGGGCAGGTCACTTAACTTCTTCCAGCTTTGGTTTCCTTATCTGTAAAATAGAGGGTGGTGATAATAACAGCACCTCCCTTACATTATTGTTGAGAAGATTAAATGAAATAATACATGTAAAGTTCTTTGCCATCTTAAAGCACTACCTAAATGCTATCACCACCACCATCACCATCATCTGATTACAGTTTGTTTGTACCTATTTGTTCCCAATCTCTCATTAGATTGTGAACTCCTCAATGGCAGGGACTGTCTTTTGCCTGTCTTGTTTCCTGAGTGCTTGGCATGGTGCCTGGCCCATAGTAGGGGCATTTGATAAATGCTTATTGTCTATCTATATGATTGGTATCCTGCCTGTTGCTTCTCCCCTCATTCTTGGGCCACGTTTACTAAGCTGACAGTGCTTCCTTTAACCAAGTTACAAGATTAGGCCCATCCTGGCTGAGTTCCCCTTCAACCAGCCTCACCCACTATCTACATTTAAAGACCCCCTCCCCACACCCCATCACCTGCCAAATCCTGACCACAGACTGTCACAGAATTCGGGGCTAGAAGGAGCCATAAGACAAAAGTACAGGCCATAACTACAAGGCAGCAGCAAGCCTTTACTGGACTGCTGTGAGTACAAGAACGTCTGGGATCAGACAATCCATACCATTTTCTGGCCCTGCAACTCCTGCAAAAATGTGTCTCTCAGGGGTTCAGGCTAATCCAAGCTACATTCCCTTAGACAAGTGGGTTGGCTCACTCACCTCCAAGAAGATATCAGATACATCATGTAACAGCATTACCAGGGTCCCAATTCGTATGTAGTTGGCACAATAAGAGAAGTAGATCAAGATGATGGCAGAAAAGTGGTGGATGATCTGTTGTTTGAAGTCCTGGGAAGAGAAGGGCAGCCATGAGGCCAGGACCTCTGGGATCTCCCATGGAATGAAGCTGCATTTGGCTTTACTCAGGGTTAGTAGTCATTGACCAAGGCAGAGTTTCCCTACACTATGTCACTCATGACTTCCATTCTCTGCAGGAAGGCCTGGGACTTTCAAGAGAGGCCAAAGCAATGAGATAACTTGATCAGGAGAGATTTGGTGGGTCAGGGGGAAGAGAGACAACATGATGGGAGAACTGGAGATCTGCTTGATTCCAGACCTGGGGAGGAGAGCTCCAGGGGGCATGCACTGGTTATTGAATTGAACTGCATTGAGCTGTCCTCTGAAGTAAATGCCTCCTTGTCTAATCTCTATAAAAGCACATTGATTTGAGGTTGACCAGGCCTGCTCTTGCTGTTTCAATGGGACAAGTCCTTTTTGATCACACCAGGGATTTCAGGGATAGTCCTACAGAGCCAAGTCTAATTTCACACTTTTTCTAGGAGGGCGGGGACTGGAAGCTAGCCTCCCTTTCTTTCCTCTTGGGACTTTTCCCCAAAGTTTGGGCTCCCAATACACTCACCTTTCTTTTCACGTCAAAGGATAAGGTGATCACGAGGGAGAGGTAGAAGCTAAACTCCAGAAGATACCACCAGTATACGGCAGGCTTCAGAGCCTAAGGGTCAAAGCAGCCATTGAGTTATACTGTGGTACAGAAAGAGCCAGTGATCAAGAGGAGACAAACTGTTTGGAGAGAAATTTCCTAGGACCCAAGACTGTGCCTTGTATCTTCTCTGCTCATGCATGGTTGGGCCTCTTGATCAAAGGACACCTGAGACAAGTCTTCCCCGAGTCAGGTAATATCTGACTCATCACAATACTTTTTTCTGATGGGGTTACTGGTAGACCAGGTCAATACTGCAAATAGATTTTCACCTGTGTTTAATAACGTTTCTCCTGCTATTCTTGTAGGACAAATAGAGAAATAGCGACTAGTTGATAGCATGGTTAGGTAACTCTAGAGTTAATCGAATGGACCCAAAGAGGTGGTCATTAATTGGCCAATGTCAACTTGAAAGGAAGTCCCTAATGAAATGCCCAAGAGATCAGTGCTCATTCCTAGACCGTTCAGCATTTTTATCAATGACTTGTATAGAGGAGGGAGAGGAAACAAGTGTATCAAATTGGTACATGACACTTACTTAGGTGATACAGCCTCTGAGGGTCCCTTCCAACAATGGCATGTTGGGATCTGGAATGAGCATGGGCTTCAGCAAGTAGGATCCATTTTAATGGGCATCTCTAATCCCCACCCTTGTCCTGGGGCTGCTCACCTGTTTAGGGAATCCATTCCAGCAGAGTTCAGACTTCCACAACCATGGCTCCTGGAAGAAACAAGGGTCAAGTCCTTGGAAATTGCCCTCATCAAAGCCAGCCTTCACAGGCAATGGTTCTGCCCCACATCTTGAATTGGAAATTTCCCCAGGAAACTCCAAACACTCAATAGGTAATATTTTAGCTACGCTTTGTAGAAACACCCAACCATTTCCCTGTCTTCTTCTTTCTTCTTCCTTCTTAGGAGGCAGGTCAGAGTCAAAGAGAGGTCAAGGAGGGTTTGGCCCCAGACTCCTGCTCTGGTCCTTCCCTCTGAGTCATCTGCATCTGACCCTTCTCTGTGCTGGGCTATGGCCCCACCCATAGAGACATTGAGGGAAGGTGTGGAATGAACAAGGGGAAACAGTAAGGATGAATGAGAGAGCTAAGGAGGACCAAGGAGAGATAAAGATGACAGAGCTAAAAGAGTTCTGCTAAATGGGCAGAGGGGGGACAAAGGGGAGAGGGATGGAAAAAGATGAGGGGCCAGAGGGAAATGGAAAGGACAAGACATAGAAGAAAAGGAGAGGGATGAATGTGAGGATGGAAAGGAATGAAAAGAATGAGGATGAAGAAGATGAGAAGGCACAAGTGAATAAAAATAATGGAACTGGGCAGAAAAGATGAGAAAGGTAAGAAGAAATGGGACAGATAGTTTGGGAATAGAGAGGAAGAATGAGGACAGAAATGAAGAAGATTAAAGGGTAGCGGTGGAGGGAGGAATATGGAAGGGATAGAAAGAGGCAGAGGGTAATATAACATAGGGATAAATGGGATGGAAGGACAAATGGGGATGGATGGGATATATGGTAAGGATGGGACAGGACATACTCACACTGTAGACAATGAGTAAGCCTCCAAAGAAAGAAGAAAAGTAAAATATAAATTTCCAACTGAAAATAAAAAACAAAGTTAGTGAGGAGAGGATGGGGATAATGGACAAGGGTACTGCCAGGGTGGGTGGATTGGCAGACAGATGAAATGAGCCTCCGCTTCCTTGGTCAAGCCTGGTTGCATAATCCCATTCTCCCAGAATGACTATTTGGAGCCACTCCTCCCACCATGTTCCCTCAGCTCACCAGGTTTCGGAGAATTTCATGCTCAATAATGGTTGCTTCTGGTTTCTCCGACGTCGAAACCAGCGTTGAACTTCCCTCAAAGAGAGGCTGCATTGGGTGGCTAGGTGACTCAGCTGAGCCTGGGGACAGCAGGAGGGTAAACGGTTCGGAGGTGGAGCACAGAAAGGGAAGACCACAACCGCAAAGACTATTTAGAAAATGTCCTCACTCCCAAGTTTGTCCAATCCCACCCTCCTCTCTCCCCAAACCCCAAAAAGTTCTTACTGCCTACTCTGCCTCAGAAATTTGAAAGAGTCACAGGGGATGGCAAAGAGAAGGTAGGATTGCCTCCTCCTTTTTCCCACAGAGCCAATAGTATATGTTCCTCTATTAAAACATTCATCAAGTCACACCTTGGTCCCTGCCAGGGTTTTATTGCCCTTAGGGAGGAGGGGGAAGAAGAGGCCCATGGTGAAGGAATCTTTGACAACACTGAACACGAGAAGGACCTCAGAATTCAATTCAATTCAACATCATTTTGAAACACTTACTATATACTAGATATGGTACAAAGACAAAAACGAAACATTCCCTGTCCATAAAAGGAAGCAGCTAGGTATTATAGTGGTTGGAGTTTTTGGACTTGGAGTCAGGAAGGCCTGGGTTCAAATCCTACCCTGGACTGTTACTAGCTGTTTGACCCTTCTCTTTACTTCTCAGTTTTCTCATCTGTAAATAAAAGCATCTACCTCACTAGGTTGCTAAAATATCAGATGTGAAGTACTTTGTTCACTTTTGAGAGCACTAAAAACAGGGAAATGAGGAAAAGGCTCTTAGGAGGTAGCACTTGAACTGTGGATCAAAGGAGTGGAGGTGAGGAGGGAGAGCACTCCAGGTGTTGGGCACAGCTTGAGCACAAAGGTCGGAGACGGAAAGTTGTGTGCCACAAATAAACAGCAAGTGGCCAAGTGTGGCTGGAACATAGAGGGCATGACAGGGCTTAATGTGTAATCTGCCCGGACAATAGGCTAAAGACAAGATGTGAAGGGCTTTAAACAGATGAGCTCATATTTTATTAGTGATAATAGGGAGCTATTGAAGCTTCTTCAGCAGGACAGTAACAACATAGACTGGGATTTTAGAAATGGTTTATTTAGAGTTGTGTGGAGGATGGCATGGAGAAGAAAAAGACTGGGGGCCAAGTAGAAGGTTATCACAATAGCAGGGACCACAGGACTTGAATTAGGGTGATTATGGTGTGAGTGGAAAGAAGGGGATGAAGTGGAGAAATGTTGAGGTGGTTGAATCAACAAGATTTGGCCACTGACTGGATATGGTGAGAGGGAGAGGGAAGACTCAAAGAGGAATCCTAGGTTGCAAACCACACAGAAAGCGAAATCTGGGAATGACTTAAGACTGCATCGGGGTCAGTTCCCTCATTTAACAGATGAGTAAACTGATGCTTAGAGAGAGGGAAATGACAAGGCCAAGGTCACACAGCAAGGCATTAGCAGAGCTGAGATTAGAACCCAGTTTTTGTGAACTCCTAATCCATTCTGACTTGGTAGATATTGGTGCTCATAACAAGAATTGCTCTTCTGAGGAGAGATGGCAGCACAGGCAGCCTGTTTGTGAGTCAGTCCTGGGCACATAGCCCACTCTATCTCCCCTGCTTCCTACTAGTGAATAGCAACTATTTCCCTGATGAAGGAGATTGGGACTTAAACCACTGAGCTTTTGAACAGTATTGTAATTAGGCCCCTACTCACCTCTTTTGGATTCTGACTCTGTGTCTGGAAAAAGGACTCTAGAATGGGGTTGTGAGAAGCCTTGATCCTGCGGCCATCCCGCACGCCCACGAGCCTGCTCAGGGGCAACCCAACAGCCCTAGGAGAGAAGATTGGAAGAGGTGAAAACCTAGGAGTCCCTTCTATCCCTGAAAATCTGAACCTTTGGGAGTTCTCTATGTAGCAAGGGCCATCTCATGAAGCATGCCCAAAAATGTCATTCCTGGTTCCAAGTGTAGAAGTATTGGAGGGCCTGCTTTGAGCCACTGCTGAGCGCCATTGTGATGAGACAGAATTTACTTACTGACTGTAGAACCAGAAGAGCTGTTGACTCATTGAATGTAAGAAAGGGGAAAAAAAAAAAAACAATGACTACTCTCTCAGCCTCTCTTTTCTTTTCTGACCTACTGTAGTTTACATGTGCCCAAGTAAGTGAACTGACATATTAACAATTGTTAACTAAACTAGTCCACAAAAAGGACAAATGACTTAAGATTTCTACAGAGAAGAAACTACAGGGAATATCATAACACAAACTCAGAAGAGGACAATATGGTGACATCCAAAGGCTCAAAGAAAAATGTGAATTGGTCTCAGGTCCAAAAATAACTCATGGGAGAGCTCAAAATTTTTTTTAAAAAAAATATCGAAGACGAGAGGTAGAGGAAAAATTGGGAAAAAGAAATGAGTGATGTAAGAAGAAAACAACTCCTTAAAAAGTAGAATTGGCTAAATGGAAAAGGAGGTACAAACTCACTGAATAAAATAATTCCTTAAAAATTAGAATTGGACAAGTGGAAGCCTAAAGACATCAAGAAGCACTAAAACAAAATAAAAAGAATGAAAAAGCAGAAGAAAATGTGAAATATCTCATTGGAAAAACAATTAACCTAGAAAATAGATCGAGGAGAAATAATTTAAGAATTATTGGCCTACATGAAAGCTATGATAAACAAAAAGAGCTTAGACAAAATATTCCAAGAAATTATCAAGGAAAACTACTGTAATATCCTAGAAACAGAGGGCAAAATAGAAATGGATCACCTCCTGAAAGAGATCACCAAATGAAAATTCCCAGGAATATTATAGCTAACTCCCAGGTAAAGAAGAAAATACTGAGAGCAGTCAGAAAGAAGCAATTCAAATATCACGGAACCATAGTCAGGAGAACACAAGATTTAGCGGCTTCTACATTAAAGGACTGGAGGGCTAGGAGTATGATACTCTGGAGGGCAAGGGAGCTAGGATTACAGCCAAGAATCACCTACCTAGCAAAACAGATAAACTTCAGGGGGAAAAAACTGACATTTAATGAAGCAGAGGACTTTGAAGTATTCCTGATGAAAAGACCAGAGTTGAATAGAAGTTTTGACTTCTAAATACAAGACTCAAAAGAAGCATAAGAAGGTAAACATGAAAGAGTAATAATAAGGATCTCAATAAAATTGAACTGTGTATGTTCTTAAAATGGAATATGATATGTATAACTCCTAACAAGTTTGTCATTATTAGGGCCTTTACATAGACAGAGCGTATGAATGTGAGTTGATTATGTTGGAAAGAACTCCAAAAAAAATGAAGGGGCAAGGAAGAGGGATGCACCAGGAGAAGAAGGAAAGGAGAGGCAGAATGGGGAAAGTTCTCTCACATAGAAGAGGAACACAAGGAGAATGTTTACAGTGAAGGAAAAAATAGGGAGGGGTGGACAATGCTTGAACCCCACTCTTATTGGATTTAGTTCAAAGAGGAAAGAATACATGGGTGTGTACAGCAATGTAAGTTATCCAATAGGAAAATAGGAGGGCAAGAAGATAAAAGGGAGGGAATTAAGGGAGGTAGTAGTTAGAAACAAAATTGACTATTCAGGAGATACAAGATTAAAAGTTACAGAGAAGAAGAAAATAGGATGAAGGGAAATACACAGTTAACAATTAATTATAACTGTGAATGTGAATGGGATGAGCTCATCGATGATATGGAAGGAGGTAGCAGGATGGATTAGAAACCAGGTCCAACAAAATGTTGTTTACAAGAGACACACTTGAAACAGAATGACATACACAGAATTAAAATAAAGAGCTGGAATACAATCAAATATTCTTTAGCTGAACTAAAAAAAGGCAAGGATAACAATCATGATCTCAGAGAAAGCAAAAGCAAAATAGACCTTATTAAAAGAGATAATCATGGAAACTATATTTTGCTAAAAATGTACCATAGACAATGAAGTAATATCACAAATTTTTACAGCAAGTTTCTCTGACAAATGCTTAATTTCTCAAATATATGCTGAATATAGAACTGAGTCAAATTTATAAAAATAAGAGTCACTTGGGGCAGCTAGGTGGCGCAGTGGATAGAGTATTGGCCCTGGAGTCAGGAGGACCTGAGTTCAAATCTAGCCTCAGACCAGACACTTGACACTTACTAGCTGTGTGACCCTGAGCAAGTCACTTAACCCCAATTGCCTCACCAAAAGAAAAAAAATAAGAGTCATTACCCAATTAATAAATGGCCAAAGGATGTAAACAGACAGTTTTAAGGAGAAGAAATCAAAACTATCTATAGCCATATGAAAAAAAATACTTAAAATCACTGTTGATTAGAAAAAGTCAAATTATAACAGCTCTGAGGTACTACCTCATAACTCTCAGAAATGACAAATACTGGAAGATGAGAGAAAAATAGGTACACTATTGAACTGTTGATACACTAATGAACTGCTGGTGCAGTAATGAACTGCTCCAACTATTCTGGTGGACAAATTTGGAACTTGGCCCAAAGGGCTAAAAAACTATGCATGCCCTTTGACACAGCAATACCACTACTTGCTCTGTATCCCAAAGAGATCAAAGAAAAAAGAAAGGGACCTCAATGTACAAAAGTATAGTAGTATAGTATAGTATAGTATAGTATAGTATAGTATAGTATAGTATAGTATAGTATAGTAGCTCTTTTTGTGGTGGCAAAGAATTGGAAATCAAGGGGCTGCTCGTCAGTTGGGGAATGGCTGACCAGGTTGTGGCATATGATCATGATGGAGTGCTATTGTGTTGATACATTCATATTAAGCATATTTTCACATTAGTCATGATGTAAAAAAAATGACAAGGAGGGTAGCTTCAGAAAAAACAAGGCAAGACCTATATGAACTGATACAAAGTGAAGTGAGAAGAAATAGGGATCATTGTGCTGAGCAACAGCAATGTTGTAATGATGATCAACTGTGAAAGACTTGGCTACTCTGATCAATACAATGATCCAAGACACTTCCAAAGGATTCATGATGAAAAAATCTATCTACTTCCAGAGAGAGAGAAATGATGAACTCTGAGTGCAAATTGCATTATAATTTTCTAAGTTTTCTTGCTGTTTTGAAAATATATTTTTTATAATTTTCACAGGTATAATTTATGTCATATTGCTTACTTTCTCAGTGTATAGGGAAAGGGTAGGAGTGAAAGACAGAATTTGGAACTCAAAATTTAAAAAGAAAACAATGTTAAAAACAAATAGTATTCTTAAAATGAAAAATGGGGAGGAACTCGCAGTTGACTTACCTCTCAAAGATGTATCTGACAGTTATTAAGACAAATGTCAATGGAATAACGGTTAGCAAGTCCTTGGGGTGAGGATATATGGCCCCATCGGAATCTTCCAAGTCAGCCCATGAATACTCTTTAGGGAACCAATATCGGTCATTCCAAAAACAGTCATACAGGCTGACCAGCATCCTGCAAACAAGAGACAGAGAGTTTTATTGAAAATTCCAGGAGAGAGGATTCTGGGAAGATGGCAGAGTAGGTCACAAAATCCCAAGTTTTCTAGATTTCCCCTACAAACAAGACAAAATGGCACCTCAGGGTGAATATAGAAGGGTAAAAATAAATAAGAATCAGGGTAGAGCAATGGTCCTCCCAGGACAACAGGAGAAAGAAAGAAAAATCCCAGAACCTAGTGTTTGTCCCTGTGAAGTGTAAACACCTCCAGTCTAGTTATGCCAAAATGGCAAGAGGTGAACCCTGGAGCTAGCTGGGTTGAGAGATAGCCTCAGCTCCAGCTATAGGAATTATCACCTCCTGGATAGTGTGGGGAGTCAGGCATCTTAGTGGGGGAAGGTTGAGGGAACCTCTGCTGATAAGGGACACCAGGCCCAGCTATGCTGCCAAGACAAGACGTGGCCCTGGTTGAGAAGGAACCAGCACATGCCCAGTAAGTGCAGAAGCAGTGAGGAGGGGATATTGCTGGCTTTACTTATAGGAGGGCAGAGTTCCAGGCCAGAGGGGAGAACTGAGGCCAGAGGTACCATCTTCTATACCCCCAGGACTAGAGGTGATTACAAATTGCTATAAATAAATTTTTATTTAAAAAAAAAAATGAGCAGGCAAAGGAGAAAGAACCCAAACATAAAAAGTTACTGTGGGAATAGAGAAGACCAAAGTTCATCTTTGGAGGAGAATACTGAAACAAAGAAAGCCTCTCCTACCCCAAAGAGTAACATCAGATGGTCACCTACCCAAAAAGAATTCATAGAAGAACTTTACAAAGACTTTAAAAATAAGAGACTGACTGAAGGAATTTTTTTATTCAACAATTTATTTATTAATTTTGAGTTTTCAACATTCACTTCCATAAGATTTTGAGTTTTAAATTTTCTCCCCCTCCCTCTCCCTCTCCTCCCATCTCCCCAAGATGGCATGCAATCTGATACAGGCTCTACTAATACATTCATATGAAGCATATTTTCACATTAGTCATGATGTAAAGAAGAATTAGAACCAACGGGAGGAACCACAAGAAAGAAGAATCAAAACAAAACAACAAAAGAAAAGAAGAGAAAATAGTATGCTTTCACCTGCATTCAGTTTCTATCATTCTTTCTCTGGATGTAGATAGTGGTTTTTTTTTTCATTGTGAGTCTTTTGGAGTTGTCTTAGATCTTTGCATTGCTGAGAAGAGCTAAGTCTATCAATGTCAGTCATTGCACAGTGTGGCTGTTACTGTGTACAATGTTCTGATTCTGCTCACTTCACTCAGCATCAGTCCATACAAGTCTTTCCAGGTTTTTCTGAAGTCTACCTGCTCATCATTTCTTATGGAATAATAGTATTCCATTACATTCATATACCACAATTTGTTCAGTCATTCCCCAATTGATTGGCATCCCCTCAATTTCCAATTCTTGGACACCACAAAAGAGCTGCTATAAATATTTTTGTACATGTGGGTCCTTTTCCTGTTTTTATGATTTCTTTGTGATACAGACCTAGAAGTGCTATTGCTGGGTCAAGGGTTATGCACAGTTTTATCATCCTTTGGGCATAGTTCCAAATTGCTCTCCAGAATGGTTGGATCAGTTCACAACTCCACTAACAATGCATTAGTGTTACAATTTTCCCACATCTTCTCCAACATTTATCATTTTCCTGTTTTGTCATGTTAGCTAATCTGACACGTGTGATGTGGTACCTTAGAATTGTTTTGATTTGCATTTCTCTGAGCAATAGTGGTTTAGAGCATTTTTTTATATAACTATAGATAGCTTTAATTTATTCCTCTGAAAACTGCCCGTTCATATCCTTTGACCATTTATCAATTGGAAAATTACTTGTATTCTTACAAATTTGACTCAATTCTTTCTACATTTTAGAAATGATGTCTTAATCAGAAACACTGGCTATAAAAATTATTTCTGAGTTTTCTGCTTCTCTTCTGATCTTAGTTTCATTGGCTTTGCACAAAAGCTTTTCAATTTAATGTAATCAAAGTCATACATTTTGCATTTCATAATGTTCTCTGTCTCTTGTTTGGCCACAAATTCTCCCCTTCTGCATACATCTGATAGGTAAACTATTCCTTGCTTTCCTAGTTGGTTCATAGGATTAGTCTTTACATCTAAAGCACGTACCCATTTTGATTTTACCTTGGTATATAGGGTGTAAGATGTTGGTCTATGCCTAGTTTCTGCCATAGTATTTTCCAGTTTTCCCAGCGGTTTTTGTTAAACAGTGAATTCTTATCCCAGAAGCTGGAGTCTTTGGATTTATCAAACAGTAGATTATGATAGTCATTGAGTGTTGTGTCTTGCATACCTAGCCTATCCCACTGATCCACCACTCTATTTCTTAGCCAGTACCAAGCAGTTCTGATGATTACTGCTTTATAATACAATTTAAGATTTGGTAACAACCAGGCCACCTTTGCTTGCATTTCTTTTCATTAGGTCCCTTGATATTCTGGACCTTGTGTTCTTCCAGATGCATTTTGTTATTGTTTTTTTCTAGCTCTATAAAATAATTTTTGGTAGTTTGATTGGTATGGCACTGAATAAGTAAATTAATTTAGATAGAATTGTCATTTTGTTATATTAGCTCGGCCTACTCATGAACAACTGATATTTTTCCAATTATTTAGATCTGACTTTGTGTGAAAAGTGTTTTGTAATTGTGTTAATATAGGATTGAGGAAAAAATTTTAAAAAAGAACAATCCAAGGAAAACAATATTATGAAAAGAAAGTTTACCAACTGGAAAAGGAGATCCAGAATCTTAAGGAAGAAAATGACTCCTTGAAAATTAGAATTAGACAAGGGGAAGCCAGCAAAGTTATAAGAGACAAAGAAATAATAAAACAGAATATAAAGAATGAAAAAATAGAAGAGAATGGGAAACATAAGAAAATAATTGATTTGGAGAACAGATCAAGAAGAGAAAACATAAGAATAAGCAGATTACCTGAAACTAGGATCAAAAAAAAATAATCTTGATACAATAATACAAGAAATAATTAAAGAAAATTGTCCTGAAGTGTTAGAACAAGAGGGTAAAGTAGAAATAGGGAAAAAATACACTGATCACCACCTACAAAAGATCCTATGAGGAAAACCTAAATTCTAAAACCCTCAGCTCAAGGAGAAAATACTATGAGCAACAACAAGAAGAAAAAAACAATTCAAATATGGTGGAGCCACAGTTAGAATCACACAAGACCTAGCAGTGGCTACACTAAAAGACTGCATGTTTGTGGAACACTATTGAAGAGCAAAAGAACTGGGGTTATGGCTGAAAATATCATACCCAGCAAAGTTAAGCATAATCCAGAATGAAAAAAAATGGATATTCAATGAATTGACAGACTTTCAGATTTTTATTGCAAAAAGACCTGAACTTAATAGAAAATTTGACATACAAGAACCAATATAACTTAAACATCAAGGGAAAATTACAAAAGACTCAGTAAGGACAGATTGTTTACTTTTTATACAAGGAAATGTAAACTATATGTCTAAGACTGTAATTAGTAATTGGGTAGTTCAAAAGAAAGACTGGAGTAGAGCTGAGTATAATGTGATTCTGAAAAGCAATACTGTCTAGGTAAAAAGAGTGAATATCTTCTACAAATGAGGTTTGAAAAGAAGAATTGATAGAGAGGAATTATATGGGGGAGGAGGATGGGTAGTTCTGGAACCCTACTCTCATTGGGAATAGGTTAAAGAGGGAACAATATATATTGAAAGAAAGAAGGCAAAGGAGATAGGAAGGTGGGGAGGATAAGGGAGGGATTTTTAGAAGGAACCGTACTCACGTCAGATCTGGGTTATAGGGAGAACAATAGTTACACTTAGAGGGGAGACGATAAGGGAGGGATATTTGGAGAAGGGTAAGTTAAGTAAAAGGAGGGCAAGGTAGTGGGTAGAAGTAAAGTAGAGGAATCAGGAGGGATAGGAAATAAAATACACACACAAATATAAAATAAAGATCAGGAGTAGAACTTAATTAGGAAAAAAAGCAGGGGTAGTAATCATGATCTCAGACAAAGTTAAAGCTAAAGTAGATTTAATCAAAAGAGAAAATAGGGAAACTACACTATGTATCAGCCATATTAATCAATATTGTTTTAGACTATTTAAAATAACTAGACAGTATAAGATTGGAATATTGCTGTGGCATAGGAAATGATGAATTGGTGGACTTAGAAAAATATGGAAAGACTCGCACTTAAGAAGAACAGTGTTATCCACCCTCAGAGAAACAGAGGACAAACAAGTATAGTGTGGTCTTACATAGAAGCATATGAATGTATATGTCTATATATGAGTATGATTATAGATATCTAAGTATATGTTCGTGTGTAACTGCATGTATGTGTATATGTATGCATATACACGTTTTTGTGCATAGGTCTATATGTATATGTATGTATATATGTGTGTATGTGTGTATATATATATACATACATATGTATACACACCTATACATCATACACACACACATATATACACATACATACATACACACACATATACACATACATACATATATATATATATATCTGCAATTAATTGTAGTCTTCCAGGGGGAGGGGAGGGAGGAAGGGGGAAAAGAGAACCAAGTTAAAAATGCAAAGCAGAGGAGAAAAGAAAACTTACAAGAAAGCAACGAGAAAGGATGGACAGCTCTAACCACAATGTGTAATGTTTATTATAGAGACTTTCTTGAAATGGAAATTTATTGCTGCATATTTTGAATCCTCTCTTACGTTCTGCTGTGCACATGGCAATGCTTTTTTTTCTTTTTTACTTTGTGTTGAAGTTTTAGTAATATGTTGCATTTCCTTTTCTTATTGTGCATTTAAGTTTTAGTATTTAAGTTTAAAATAAATTATTTTTTTAAGGGGCAGCTAGATGGTGCAGTGGATAGAGAGTCTGCCCTGGAGTCAGGAGGACCTGGGTTCA